CGACAATTGAATTTTATTGCAGAGTTTACAACAAACATATCATACATAGATGGTAATGACAACATAGTGGCTGATAGTTTATCCAGAATTGATGCCATTAATATGCCTACGGTTATAGATCTCGAGATGATTAGCAACCATCAGAAAATAGATGAAGAGCTTAAGCAGCTATTAAAGTCAGATTCAGCACTTCAATTACAAAAACTTTTTTTACAACCCGATATATCAACCTTTTGTGATGTATCAACAGGAATCATCAGACCATATATTCCATCATCACTTCGAAAGAAGACATTTGACACAGTGCACTCCTTAGCACATGCTGGTACTAAGTCAACGACAAAACAACTATGCAGCAAGTACGTGTGGCCGTCAATCCGAAAAGATGTCGCGAATTGGGTACGATCGTGCCAAAGTTGTCAACAAGCAAAAATAAACAGGCATAATAAACTTACGCCACAAGCTTTCAATCCATTGGATCAGCAATTCCATCATGTACATTTGGACTTAATAATACTTCCCGAATGTGACGGTTACAGATATGCACTAACCATGATGGACAGATTTACACGATGGCCAGAAGCCGTTCCGTTGAAAGATATCACCGCTGATACAGTCGCAGAAAATTTTTACGCACACTGGATATCGCGATTTGGTTCTCCGAAAATCATAACAACTGATCAAGGAACCCAGTTCGAATCAGCTTTATTCAAGGCGCTAGCAAATCGTTTAGGCACGCAAAGAATACGTACTTCTCCGTATCACCCAGAATCTAACGGGTTAATTGAGCGATTTCATCGCACTTTAAAAACAGCTCTTATGTCGCGACCTAAACACGCTTGGATACAATTGTTACCATCAGTTTTACTCGGACTTCGATCATCCTATAAAGAAGATATCAACACTTCAGCAGCTGAAATGTTGTATGGAACGACATTATGTCTATCGGGAGAATTTTTTGTGGAAAGTAACACGCTTCCGGACGAACAAAAATTCCTAGCAACATTACGCGAGCACATCCAGCAAGTACGACCAATTCCGACATCCAATCATTCTAGCAAAGCTGTATTCGTTCACAAAGCATTGGGCGATGCGTCGCATGTATTCGTAAGGGCAGATCATGTAAGGAAACCTTTAGAGCTCCCATACACAGGTCCACATAAGGTAATCAAGAAAATCAACGACAGACTTTTTACGGTTGACGTACGCGGTAAGCAGGTTACCATATCAATAAACAGATTGCCAGCAGTAATCAGTAATCGGCCTTTTTCGAGCCAGCAGTAATCGAACCAAAGTTTGCAGAAGTCGACGTAGATTGCAGACCTGTAAACAAAAGAAAACTCACGCAAACGAAGAAGCAAGTAACCTTTAATGTGAAAGATCCGTTGGAGTAGTAGGTTACAACAGTTAACAAACCAGACCACCGGCCCAGTTATTAAGGGGGGAGTACTGTGGCGAACTCGCCACACACACACTGCAGCGCCCTCTGTGTGTGAGTGCACACGCACTCGCACCATCTGTGGGCAAAAGGAACATTTTTCAATGAGCAGCTAACTTCAATAACTGGCGACTGGCTTCCTTCTTCTTCCTATTTTGCACGTTTTAGTAACACAACGTTTTTATCGTTTTATAAACATTTGTTATATTTATTTAAAATAAAGTGTGTGGCAACGAAGCCACAGTAGTAAATTATTTTGAGAGTGTATTGATTGGTTTTTTTTGTTTATATTTAAGTTGTCGTTCTTGTACAAGTATTCTTTGCTTTTGGGTTTTATATGCTGTCTCTATCAGCAGTTTTTTAATAAGTGTGATGAAAGATAAGTAAACAAATTCTACAGTATAGTTTTACAAATTAAATTTACTTTGCCAAGAAAAAACAGTGTTTTAAGTTTACAGAAATTACAATTTTCTCCCCAAAATCGGCACCAGTTCGACAACTTTTGCTTAAGATTCACTGGCTCAATTGAATCTAACAATTTTCGGATCACTTCATACGCTTTTCAGTTAAGAACATTAAAACTCATGGACCGGGGTTTATTGAATTGTTAAGATACATATTATAAAGCATAATTGTAAAATATCAACAAAATACTATTTTATTCATATCATTGAAATTTGATTTAAAATAAAGATTTTTTTTTATGCTATGCATAATAACTTTATATCATAATAATAATAATATCATAATAACTTTTTGTGCGAGAGCGGGCCCGAAATCACCTATTACTTATAATATGGTTATTGAATTGTTATTCAACTAAAAGAATGTTTTTAGTTTAAAGTGAGTGTGTTGGGCCATTTCTTAATATTCTATAAGACAATATGTCATTTACTATATCGTATATTTTAGAATTGTAATCATCTTTATTCATAGCAACTGTTTGATTACGTTTATTAGATTTTAGTGTATTTGGGTTATTTTCTTTAAGAAATTTTCGAGTCAGTTCTACCGTGCATAGAAAATTATTTTTAAAAAGTGAATTATTTAACTATTAACCAATTAGAAAGTTTGAAAACAAAATTATTAAAAATATTATTGGTCATTAAAACAATAAATTATTTGATAAAATTTATGCTATTTTTAATTTTCTGTCGCCACAATATTATTTTTCAATTTTTAAAGAATTGATGTACACTTATCGTTAAATAATCACAATAAAATTTAATAAAATGTTATTGAAATAGCATTAAAATTATACAACACTGACTGTTATAAACTTTTCGTAAAGTGACTGCAATCATAATAAGCAAAACCATGACGTACATAAAGACAGAAACACTATCGTGACTGTGACTGCAATCGTAACATGCCTCTAAGGGACTGTATTTTGTATGCAAAATATTTTAATTTGTTGATTAGATATTGTATAGTCTTTGATGTAGCGCTAGTGTTGTTAATATCTGAATAAATCAGCTAAGATTTGGACTAAGCTGCTTGCGCCCCCTTTTGTTAACAATAATTTTAATCGTTAATAGTTAAGTAAATGGCATTTAAAACTCATGGAAAACACATAATTATTTTTCTTAATTTTACAAAATGTGAGTGAGCTTATGTATTAAAAAACAATAAAAGTAATAAAAACAGAATATAAATATATAAATTTTTCACACTCTAAAAGTTTTTCAGGTCTGAATGTCTAAATGTCATATCCAAACTAATATGGGATGAAAAAAAGTTCTATACAATTTTAATTTTATTAGAGGGACTGTTAGATCAAATTATAAAACTTTGTTAAACCTATATTTTGGAATATATGCCTATTGCAAAAAATGCAAATCAGTTGTAAAAGTAATTGCAAAAACTGAAATATTGAATAGGCTTTCAAAATCAAGACGTATTAACAAAAGTTGATTTTAAAAAACGGAATCTTGTAGTCGAGTACCGAGCACAATTCAAAGAAGTGTTAAAACATAAAAAAAAAGTTTATGTTAGACAAGAGCTAATAAATTAGAATAATTAGAATTAATTTTGTAGCCTTTTCATAATGTGTTGTCACACATATGGATACCAGATTATACCTGTTGGTCAAGTTTTAAGTGAAAAACAAGAAGTAAATTTAATTAGTTTTATTTTATAAAGTGGTTAAAATCAAGAACGGTCATCATGATAATCTGTGGTAAGAGACTTTGGAAAGCGTCATTAGCACTATCTGACTATCTTGGAGGAAAAACTGTATTGTTGAATTAAAGATATTTAATCATGTGACATTGTCATCTCATAAAAAAATATCACATGTCCTTCATTTCAAGTAAACAATATTAAGAACTTTACAACATTTGCAAATGTTTGTAAAAGTTTGATAATAGCAGACCGATTCCTACGAATCGCTATCGCTAAAAGTCCAATATCTTCGCTAAAATTCTTAAACAAGCGATTCGTTTATTTTAGAAGAATTAGCGAATTAGAAGAACATGCGACTCTGCTAACACAATTTCTTCGCTATATTTATCCGGCAATGTGGATACTGCTGGAAAGCATTGAAATGTCAAAATAAAAACAAAAATTGAAAACAAATATCAGTTAAAATTATTATTTAAATTTAAATTTTAGAATCTGTAACAAAAAAGTATTTAGCCATTGCAAAATTTGAATGAAAATTAAATTAAAAGAGAATTTGTTTATTAATTAATTAAATAATGGATTATTATTATTCAGGCATTATAAAATACAGTGAAACTTCCGTAATTCGAAGTACCATTTTGCAAATAAAAGGTGCAACTTATAGAGACTTTGAGTTAGCGAAATTTTTTATTCTTATTTTTATTTTTTAAAGAAATTAGAAGTACTTCTTAAAAGATTTATATATTTATTTGAAATCAAATATAGCACAGAAGTTATAGTGATGTAAAATATTCAAAAATTATGGTTTGGGATTTTAGTTATTTTTTTTGTATCAGTAAATGGTTTGTTCAGTACCTTTGCTTCCATTTATCAAGCTAACCAGTGCTGTTAAACATCTGGTTTGTAAAAAGGGACTTCCCTTAACAGTCCGAGTTATAGAAAATCCAAGTCATAGAAGTTCGAGTTATTAAAGTTTGACTGTAACTGAAAATTAAATAATAATATCGAGGGCAATGTGTAATAATCATATATTTTGTTCACTGTTGCAATTTATTTTTTATTACAATTTTACAACATATTAGAAAAATAAAATACATAATAATAACTAACAAAAATAATTGATAAATATCCAATTATACCCGTAAATACCGCACAATTATTCACTTTTTATACTTCCAACAACATATTTTTAGTTTTGCTGATTGCCAAATACACTCTCACAGAATTACTGCTACAAAAATGATGGAATATTAACAATTATTTTTTTTTATAGAATTCAAAAATGTCATAATTTGAAAATTGGAAAAAAAGAAAAATTTCAGTGTTTTATTTTGAAATTATCAACATTTTTACAATTCCTTTTAATTTTGTATTCAATTAAGTTTTTAATTTATGTTAATTATTTATTTTTATACAAAATATAATTTGCTCGCCTAACCAATTGCAATAGTGATGCCAATGTCTCGCGTGATCAATATACGCCACCATGCATTTTTTGCCATACTTGCAAGCCACCGAAAAGGCTTTTAGTTGTTTTTAGCGATATTTGACGATTACCAATTTATCAAAATACGAAATTTGGCGATTTAGCGTTTTATCAAGAGCAATCAACTGTTTTTGAAAATTGAGAATGTCAGCGAAGAGGAATTAAGCTTAAAGAATTAGCAGAATCGCAAAATTCGCTAAAATGCATTTAAAAAATTTTAGCGATGATAACGAAGAAGTCGTAGTACAAAAGAACTTAGGTACTACTACAGTACTTATCGATGGGGAAAAAGCGCCAATGGATTTAATATATAATGGTATTATATTAGATATCAATACTTGCAAAAATTTCTCTCATATTCTTAATTGTTTTTGATGCAGTAATAATTTTCTTTATTTTAAATGATACGTTTCGGTGAAGTTTAATTATTTCTATAGAATGAAATAATTTTTCTTATAGAATCTTAAAAAAATTAAATAGTGATCTATAACAAGCAAATTTTGAATTATATTTTTTTAAATAACACATTTTGATTTGTGTGTTAACACAAATTTAAAATTTAGTAGAGTTAAATTCCTGATACTTGCATTTTAAAAACATTTATGCATCTCTATAAATGTTGTGCCACAATTATATTTCACAAACTTTATATTAACGAAATATTTGTGTAAAATTATAAGTTTAAAAAATTTGATTGAAATTAGTTTTGCGAGATATTATATAACGTTTATAACTTAAAATAGTAAAATAAAAATAATCATAACTGATTAGAAATTACAATAATTTGTTATATATTTATATTATAAATATCTAATTAAATTTTTATAAGTAGCAATTATATCCTTTTTTAATCAGTCAAATAATTATTATTGAACATCATTATTAGCATGTGCATATCAGATCCAAATCTGACATAAACTCACAGCAAAAGTGTATTTATTACTTCCATACTTAAAATTTTAAAAACGAAAATAATTTAATACTATTCAGCTAGACGAAAGGTTAAGGTCTTTACATAAAAAAGTATGTAAAGTGTGTAAGAAAAACCTAATTAAAAAACGTGCACAACTCTCTTAAGAGCAAATTAAAGTATTCCATTTTTAAATATTTTGATTTTTGATTAACAAATTTTTATGTTTATTTATATATATTATTCCCAAATTAATATACAACTAACTAAAAATAAATCTCGTTACCACACATTATGCGACAATTGTTTGGTCAAATGGTCTATTTGTACAAGTCTAAAATAATTTCATAAAATAACAAAAATATGAACCATTAAAAATCACATTTTGACAATGCTTCATCAATCTTTATTATTATTATTAATTTTTGACCTTTTTTAATTTAAACTGCCAAGATAATGACGTTTCGTGTGCAGTCAAAGGATTTGATGCACCGATTTCGCTACTTTTACTGTAATACCAGCTGAAGTCCAAATCTATTGTTAGGCTGTACTGATTTTTTTGCAGTCGTATGATTGTAATTATGAACCCACATTGGTATAGCTGACCAAAACAGTATATGTGAAATAGAGATTAACTCAGGCAGCAGTTTTTGTTGCTTCGTTGTATTGTTTGTATATAAATTCTCTATAATTATATATTTGGATTTAGTGAATAGTGAGAATAAATTTTTTTTTTTGTTTGCAATTGCAGTGAATTGATTTTTTTGCTTTCAAGTTGTGAAAACCGTACATAATTAAAATTTTTCTTACTGTGGACATAATCCGTTATATAAATATTTGGCATCTGGTTTTCATACCTAAATAGGGAAAATTCTGAAGTTGTACATTTTTAATTATTTTGTATTTAAATGAGACAAGTAGTTTTACATTTTAAGGAAAATGTTGGTTTTAATATATTTTTAACAGTAAAATTAAAAATTAAAACCAACATTTACAGTGATGTAAACGTAATGAAGGAAAGGAATCTGTTACTCTATAGGTAAATTACACTGTAAGACCAATTTAAATCTGCTTGTTAGCTATATCCTAGTATTATTCCAAAAGCCAGTGATAAATGAAAAAAGTTGTATTATTATTTCCGAATTTGATTGAAATTTCTTTCCAACAAGCAATGTTTTTAAATTCGAAAATAAATAAATAACTGATGGTTTTACGGTTTAATTTTTTTCAAATATTTTTAGTAGTAGTATTATTAGTGTATTAAATTGAATGTCATAGATGCTATTAATATGTATATAATTTTTACACTTTTGCAAGTATGTGTATGTTATTAACAAATTTAATATTTTTTTTAGTATTTACTACGAGTTCAATTGCTATAAGAGATATGTCTTCTTTGCACAGAATGCACCGGACTGGACCACATATAAAAATACGCCCGCCACGTCAACCGCTTGATGGCAAACCTTTTGCAAAAGGTATCGTATTAAAAACGCTCATCAAAAAACCCAAAAAACCTAATTCAGCCAATAGAAAATGTGTTTTAGTGCGTCTAAGCACAGGCAAAGAGATGGTGGCATATGTACCGGGCATTGGGCACAATTTGCAGGAGCACAACATTGTACTATTGCGTTGCGGACGGTTGCAGGATGTACCTGGCGTTAAACTCAAATGTGTGCGTGGAAAATATGACTTAGCACATGTTATTAAAAAATAAAACTTTACTGCTGCAGTATATTCTTTATATTCAGCCAAAAATTGTAAACATTAAAAATGTATGTTTCGTTTGAGTAAAAGTTACACCCAATAAAGCTATTTTGATACATTTATGAATCTACATTTGCTTTATAAAATGCATCAAGTTCGACATAATAATTGGTATACTCGTGTATATTGTATTAAATGATATACATGTATACACATGCATATTTAAAGTATATATTTAGTTAATTAGATTTTATTCAGGTACTGATAATTATTTATATTACAATTTTATGTTTTATATAACTCATTTAATATGCATCCTAATTCAATGAACACACAATTTGAGCCCCAAATTGGCTAAGTTTCTTCAGATGGAACGAAAACTGTTTATTTCGGTTTAACACCATATTGTTTGGTTTATGTTCATTAACGCAAATTTCTCTTTAGATGTTGATTTTTTATTTATTTATTTTATTAATTTATTTTATTTTATTTTATTTAATTATATTTATCTGCATATACTTAAATTAACGATTATTGAAAATTTTGTTCAATTCTAGTAACCAAAGTTTTCAATTTTATAAACTTTTCAATTCTTCTTCTTCTTCTTGTTGTTGAGTTAGTGCTATTACGCACTTTTACTCTATAATGGCTGGGGGGCTTATCACTACCCCACACTAGGCTTTAACTAGGCTAAGAAATCATATCATTTATTTGTCTTTTAGTTGATGACGGAACTTAAATCAGCATATCTTCCTGAGAATCCAGAAGTGGACTTGAGGATTGTTAGTGCGGGGTTAAGTATATATAAGTATATTCCTGTTTAACTGTATAAACTTCAAACAATAATGAAAATTTTAGAAAAAAATGAAACATTTATTTTAAGGCTTTCTTTTCAAATCTTTGCTTTCATGTAAATTAATATCAACCATAATAAATTATTATAGTACGGGTGATCAGACGTAGCTCCGTAACTCGGCAACTGCGAATTCGGAAACGTTATAAAATAGTAAACTTCTGAATGTATTTATTCAATTCTTCCTTGGTAAAGTGGTAAAATTGAATTATCAAAACCGCTGATTTTGTTTTTATTTATTACGCAAAAGCAAGAAAAAAAGGAAAAAAAAATTAAACTTAAAGTAATATTGAAATGAAATTTGTTTATTTATTTAATTTTTATATTTCTGTTTCGATTTAATTAAGCAATTTTTAGCAAGAAGCTCAAAAATATATCGTCATTTATATAAGCAGAAATTTTATTATTGAATAAATGCATTAACTATGCTTTCTAAAAGAATGAATAAGTAATTTAATAACAGTGAAAAAAAAACTGCACACAAATATATGAAAAATATTGACACCGAACCGAAAAAACCCGATATTTTTGCCGGAGCGAACACTAGAACCGAACCAATATATTTTTTTGTCTTGAACTGGAACGGAAAAAATTTTGGTTCGAAGCCCTGATTTTATGTCCTAAATTACTAAATCGAGCCAGTGTGGAAAGACAGCTTTATTAAACAATTGCATTCCATACCAAACCTTTGCTGTTTTTTATTGATCGCTACTGATATATGCTCTGACATAACGGCCGTACCTGATTTGAGATATGGTCTTTTCATCGAAGTTTGTTCCAGAATTTTATTCAATATACTTACAAAACAATATTAACATACTTACATGTTCTTTGGCGAATTTTACTCTGTTTGCTAGATGCTTTTTAGTAAGCTTTATGTGGACTTCGGACATCCATATTGTTATATCGCAACCTACGGCGAACAGTTTCCACACTTTCTGTACAGGGAACAATAAATTCAATAAATCAAAATATGTAATTCAAGTAATGCCAAAACTATAAATAATTCAAAATCTTAAGTTACGTGGTCTTAAGTTATGTACATTACTATCAATCAAAGTATTTTCATTATTATTACTTATTGAATTTTCAAAGGGTGTGTGCGTTTCCAGGATATCCTGTGACTGAAGAATTGTTGTAAAGAATATCATACTCAGAATGGCATTTGATATTATAATTTTGTTCTAATTCTTTTTTCTAATTTTTGTACGAAAAGTCCATGTTTACGGTTGTTTGGCTGTTGAATTTTATCTTCCATTTTTTTGCTCATTCTAACATAGCGTTGAGAGCAACTTGAAGGTTTTATGTTGATATTACTTCTGTTTCGCCCACTGTAAATAATGCTGTATCAACCAGCAAAAGTAGTTACAGTTCAATTATTTGTACTCGGGGTATCACTGATATATAAAAATTATAATAACGGACCAAGTATGCTGCTTTGAGAAACGCCAGTATTTATAGGACATATATCCGAGAAAACATCGTTGTGTTTAATTCTGAACACGTCGAAAAATGCAATTGAACATACCTTTTTGCTTTTGAATGTATTTTCTATGATATTTTTAATTCGATGGAAGTAAGCAGGTCTAATCCAGGTGATTTCCTTAGTTTTAGTTTAATATTAGTAGTTTTAATGACTTCAATGACTTCAGATATCTCATTAGATGTTGATGAAAACTGTAAATTGAAAATTTTATTGATATCGTCATTGGTACCGAATGTTAGGGAAAACATATTTAATCGGCCATTGAAGTTTATTGATTGCACTCAAGCCATCCTAATCACCTGTTTTTGAATGTGTGTATTTAGAGGTAAACAAAAAACAAAGTCAAAATTCATTTTCGTAGAAAAAAAAAAATATGTATATAAATATAGCAATGTTTTATTTTTTTATTTTAATTTGGGTATTATGATTTTTATAAATTTTATTTAAGAGTCCCTATCTCGATTGTTTATATTAAGTTTAATATCACCTTCTACGTTTTTTACTGAGAAAAAACCCTAAAAGTTACGGAGTTATTTTTGTTTGCACGCACACGGTAGTTCATAGTCAAAGTGGTACACATTCTGGCCTAAATCAAAATCAACATTTCGTTTACCCTTGTAATTATTAATGCTTCTTTCTTGACCGTATATTATTTCATCTTTAGTTAATGGAAGTCTCATGAAGTCGAATCTAGTTCTTATGCTTCTACCTACGAAAATCTTTGCTGGAGACTCATTAGTAGAGCAGTGTTTGGTGTTTTGTTAATCCATTAGAAATCTACTTAAAACAATTTCAAAATTTGTTTCACTTTGATCACGCAGATTTGCATATAAGGATTTTTTTAGTATTTTAGTATTTTAGTATTTTTGACCATGTGCGGTCAAGATATATTTTATTTTGTTGTTTGTAGTGAAAACTTTAAATTCTTCTGATGTAAATTGTCTACCATTATAGCTTATAATTGTATTAACAATTCTAAAACGACAAAATAATTATCTTAATTTGGATATCACAAAACTTGAAGACATATTTTTGGTTTGATATACTTTATTCGTTAAATAAAGAATCAACTATTTCAAATAAATAAAAACCTTTAATAGGATCTGCAAAGTCTATATGAAGTCTGCTCTATACAGTATCAGTTGGAGTACACGGTATTAAAGTGGTTTTTTCTGGGATTGCTAAAAGTTCTTGACATGCAATGCAAGTTTTAATCAAATTTTCTACATCAACATCTATATTGGGCCACCAGATATAATATCAAACTATTGATTTGGTTTTGACAACCCCTAAATGAGATTCATGTAAATTATGTAAAACACTTTGTCTAAGTTTTTGAGGAATAACAATAGAATATCTCCAAAACAGCCATCCTCAGATAACTGCTAATTCTAGACTCTTACTAGTAAATGAAGTAAACTGATTTCCTTTTAAATTGGAAATTATTCCATTTAAAACAGCAACAAATGTTTTTAAAAGAATTAGATCATGTCTAGTTGCGTCTAACTTTCATTCATAGTTTCATCGCAATGAATCTGCGAAATACAATACTCTATTCAATAGAGTATGGCTAACAATGAACTTTGAATAATAGTTAACCATTCCTATGGATGCTCTTAACTCAGAAAAATTATTAGGTATAGGTGCATTTAACACAGAAGATATCCGTTCATGATTTTTACTAAGACCATTTTTATCTATAGTAAATCCTAAATATGAAATTTTTCTTTGAAATTATTAACATTTTTGCAAATTAATTTCTAATCCAGAATTTTTTAATTTATTTAATACTAATTTCAAATTAGCAATATGTTCTTTTAAATTTTTTCCAGAAATTGTTATGTCAATTTGTCACAACTATATATGTATGGTATTCCACGTAATAACATTTTCATTATTTTTTGAAATATTGATGCTGCCGGTTTGATACCGAAAGACATACTCTTCCTTTTAAGTGTATCAATATGTCTAGACCAAGTACACAAAAGTTGTGACTTTTCATCCAGAATATGTTGATTGTATGCATTAGAAAGATCAAGTTTGATGAAAAGTTTACCTCCTTCTAAAGCTGCAAAAATTTCTATAATTCTTGGCAAGAGGTATTTATAATCATATAAATATTTGTTGTTTATGGCGTTTAGTTTCCCTGGGAACGTAATAGAATGAAGAAGAAGACGAAATATTTGTTAATCGTTGTTTTGTAATCCCCACAAATTCTTCTTTCACCATCTGGTTTTGGTACAGGCACCAACGGAGTACCTCAACCACAATTATTAATGGGTTCTTAAAAATCGTTTTAATTAATTAGTTAAACTTTTCTTCAATACTTTTCTTCCAAGCAAAATGTATGGGTCATGCTTTGCAAAATATTGGCTTGGCATTTTCAGAAATAGGTAACGAAATCTATTTAGATTTATATGAACCTAATTGCCCATTAAAAACTTCTACAAATTGTTTTTTAATTTCATCAATAACTACAGAGTCATTTGTTGTTTGGCTTATATTACATATTTGTTTCAAACGAAAATTAAACGAACTTAAAAAATCTCTACTAAGCAACGGTTGAGTCGAACTACAAATATTATATTTTTGGTAGTACCACAATATATAATTTATCTTACTATCATATGTTACTAGCGTATAGTTTTAATTTTATTACCACCATAACCAACATAAGTCGTTGTACATGGTATAAGACTTACTTGTTTTTTTAAGCCACGATAAAGGTGCTGAACTACAAGATGTTCCCGTATCACATGCCAACTGTACAAATAGTCTATCGACTGTCACT